GCGCCGCCTGCGCTGGGGACCTGGGTGCCGGGGACGGGCGGCAGGATGCTGTCCGAGCAAGCCCAGAAGTGGTTCCCGACCCACGTGCAGGTCACGGTGCTGCAGGCCCGAGACCTGAGGCCGAAAGGCAAAAGTGGCACCAATGACACGTACACGATCATTCAGCTGGGCAAGGAGAAGTACTCCACCTCCGTAGCCGAGAAAAGCCTGCAGCCCGTCTGGAAGGAAGAGGCCTCCTTCGAGCTCCCCGGCTTGCTGGTGCAGGGGAGCCCCGACAAGTACATTCTGGTCCTCACACTGATGCACAGGTCCCTGGTGGGGCTGGATAAGTTTTTAGGGCAGGTGGCCATCAACCTCAATGACATCTTTGAGGACAAACAAAGAAGGAAAACAGAGTAAGTTGTGCCATTTATTTGGAATTTGGGGGAGCTTCGCTATGTCTTCCTTACGGATTTTCTGTTCTTGGAAATTATTGGTGTATCTGGGGCATTGGTTTTAGGACTACAGTATATGACCCAGTTTCAAGCACCGTAGTGGCATGACTTGGAAGTAAAAATAGCCCTTGTGAAGAAACAGTTTTTAAATGGCGCCTTCAGGTGGTCCCTTTACTCTCATTTGTGCGAAGTGTTCATCTTAAATGATTATGTTGCACTGGATTGTAAGTGTAAGAAGACTGGATCACAGTGTTGACCAGCTAAAACAACACGTGGGTAAATGGTTGTCTGTCAACATTACACATTTCCAGGAGATGGAATAGCAGAGAACTAAACCTGCCAATATAATGTCATATATCTATGTCGAACTCTGAAGCTGCTAAAGGATCAATGATCAAATTTAGAACTCAGTATGTAATTCAATATTATAATCACAGTGGCCTTTGAGTGCAACCATTTTTTTTTTATAGTAAGAATATCTTAGTGGTGCCTAAAGCCGTTCAAAGAGAAAAAAACATCCTCAACTTGAACACACTAACATTTTCCTTTGAATTTCCAAAATACGGGAGCTGCTGTATTACTTCAGAATTAGTTATGCAAAACCAGTGTGTTTAGATCATATTAAAGGTCATATTGGAGACAATGATTAAATTCTTGTGATGAAATGATGTAATGACACCTTCCAGGAAAATGTGGCTTTTGATATATGACTTTCGAGCTTAGGCTATATATATTCTAATTTAAAAAGCCATAATATAAGTTAACACTGGGATGTTATGTCTTACATTGAAAAATAGTATGTTTTCAGACATAGGTATATTTACCCCTTCCTCAAACATAACTTTTCTGTTCTGAGAGAACATTATAATTGATGGAATTAATGAGAGATCAATATAGGTTGAATTTATGAGAGGAATTGAAATTTAACAAAATAGCCTTGCTGTTTATTTCAGTGATAACTGAAATTTACGCTTTTAGAAACTTTTTTCATAATGGTAATTTTCTTGACACTTATGTTAATTTCTAATTTTAAAGCAACCAACTCTTGTTTTTGCCTATGCGTTTCTTCCTGCAAGCTTTTCTTGATTGGAATTTTTATTTTTATTTAAAAAATTTTTTCATCAGATCTTGACCTAAGATTTAATGCACAGGGTAAAAGGGTGGAGAGATAAGAAATACTAGGCATGTAAGACAAACAGAGGTAAATATTTAGATTAGTTAAGGATATGAAAACATTGTGAGAGAAAGGGTATTTAAAAGTATAAGGTTGAGTATATATCAATGATTTCAATAAAACTGATACCTACAAAGTGGTATTTAGTTTCCTCTGAGGGATTTATCAAATTTAAATTGAAAATGGATAATTATCAAATAGTTTGTTTCAAATTACCAATTTTGGATGACACTATATAATATTCAAAGTGTTTTGAGTGTAAACTTGTAAGTATATTGTAACTTCAGATTTCATACTGCATTGACAGTACTTCTACTGCGATGAATGATGTATTACAGGCCTTCCTCAAATGTAAATTTGCCAAGTGAAAGTAGGCCCAACTGTGAACCCAGAGATTCTGAGGATGAAACAAGCTTTTAAAGTTTCTCCTTGTTTTACTCCTTATTTTTGGCAACATCACAATTATAAAACATTTCGCTGTAAACAGTCATATTGAAGTCTCCCTATAGAAATTCTCTATTGGCTACTATATAAAATTGGTTAGAACTTTTTTGGGGGAAATGCTTTAAAATGTTATCAACAAGGCTTGCGATGTTATTGCATTCGAAGTGATTTTCATGTTATTAAATCCCTAACATTTTCTTTCTTTGTGGATAAATAGGGATTACATATTAGATGAGGTATCTTTATTGGTAAGTTTCTAGATTTTTAATATATTTAATAGTTTCCTTTTGCAGCACAGCTGTGCATGTGGCACAGTAAGAGACAGACTTGAGTCACTGGTGTATTGCAAGAAAGATATTTAATATTCTGCACATTGCTGAACCTTGTCAGCGTATTCCCAAGTGTTTTTTAGAAAACTGGTATGAATGATGAAGGTTACCAGCTGAGTTAGAAGACCCATGAAACTGCTGGGTGTGACACTTTTTACTCTTGACACTGAAGACAAGTATTTACAGCTTGTCTTCCAGTTGTGTCATGATAGGCAAAGAAGTGTGATAGCTAAAACTATTATTTTACTTATTTTTATACCTTGAAGTTAAATACCTTTTTTTTTTTTTTTTTTTTTAAGGAGGTTTGGGGGAAGGGGCCTGTGCCTGTACACTTTGAGCGGAGCATGGAAAAAGAACTGTACCTCCCCCTTTCATGGGTGTCTGGGTTGGTTCTGGCACGAGATTTAAGGAAATAATACAATGTTTAATAATAGAATGGTAAAATTGTTCATGCTGTTATGTAATATCTATTGATTTTTTTTTTTTTTACAACAGAAGTACAGAAGTGGGTGATGTTGATTTTTTTTTTTTTTTTTTTTTTTTCTCGTGAAAAGTAATAACAATCAGAGTCCCCAGAGTTAGGTATGACTCAAACACATGCCGATTTTAGGACTTTTGTGTGTGTCTCCGCAGTGCACCTGCGTCCTGGCCTCTGGCACCCTTACTGCCAATCTTGTCCTATTTCTGACCACACAGCACCAATTGCTTGGGAATAGTTCCCACATGTGTGGTGGTTTTTGAACATGGACCTGTGCCCACTAAAAATTGAACAGAGGCCATATACAGTTTAAATCCAGCACTCAAGAGGTGAAAAAAATCAGCCATTAATCCACTAAGCCCCAAATGCTATGTCTTCATTTTATCTGTTTGAAGCCTGGGAAAACAAGTTTTATCTCTGGGGCGATTTTTGAAGGTCTCATTAAGGCTTCCCTTTCAAAACAAAGCACCTAAAGTTATTTGTCATGCCTCTATTTTAAATTAGTATATTTAAAGTTCTTAGCAGTATTTTGTGGAGGGGATAGGAGGAGGCTGGGGAATACTGTATTTACAGATTGTATTCAAGCACTGACTTGCTCTATTCTTTAAAGCTCATGTAAGTCTTTAGTGTTCCCTACAAAAAAGCAAAACAATGCAGAACCCACACACATGCACACACAGTGTATTATAGCTTGGTTGTTTTAAAATACCATTCTAGAAATAATTCAGTTGACATTTATGTAGTGCAAGGTGAGCTGAGCTGCCTTCATGAAGCTTACACTCTGGTGTAGGATGCCTTGCCTTCTTTGGCTGTCAATCTCCCGATTAAATAGAGTGCCCGTAACATATGGCCAGCTGTGCATTTAATCTTATTAACATATATGGTTCATCAAATATGGAAGAACTTCTGTTTTCATGCAGATGTTATTCATCAGCCTTGGATATTTTCTTTATTGACTTTAACTCAACATTGGAAGTTACTTACATTCTCTGTGTCTCATTTTCCTCATCTCTGAAATAAGGATATTAAAGTAGAAGATTTATTTGTCTTATTTGTAAAATTCTATGAGTTTTGATTACCTTTACCCCCTTTCATTTATTGGGTTATTGTTTTACTTTTTTCTCTGTTTGCTTTGACTTGTTATACATGTAGAAATCCTATATGCTTGGTTTATTTTTGTTTTTTTTTTGGTATATTTCTAACAAAGTGTGCTCACCTATTTTCTGTAAAGTCTGAGATGTTACTGAGTATTTCTGCAGTGTCATTCATCAGAAGTGTTTCTCCCCCATTGAAAATGATTCTATTTTCCAAATTCTAAGTTAGTAACTGGGTATCTAACCTTTTCTCATTTCCAGACTTTTCAAGTGCCCAAGTTTGTGTTCAAGGTTCTGTATTCCACAGAGTTTACTGCTGTCAGTTCTAGCCTCTACATCTTCAGATTTTGCCATTTGCCTCAGATAAAGGATTTTTCTCAGTTTAGGGTATCCGGTTGATGCTTTCTATTATGAAATATTCTTTTATTTTAAAAGTTGCTTGTTTGGGTGCACCTAGATTTTAATTGGCTGAATTGCTTCAAGTTAATTAAGAAAATATTTCTCTTGCATGTGACTTGCTAAAGTGTAGCTGGGATGTAGGTTCTGTGCCAGTTTTCTCTCCTGCCTGGAAAGACCAGTCTTCCACGTGCTGTACAGTAAATATACCTTCTTCTGGCATATCCTGTTAGTAACAATGAGAGAAAGCACTAATGTAAAATTAGACCAGAGCGCCTTTGTAGCTAAGAAAATTTGTTACACTTGATTAGAGCTGTGTTTAAATAATAACCCGTCTGCAGGAATGGATATTGTGCTCCATTGTTAAGTAATGTGAAAACATTGTAGAAACTCTTCTAGACTGGATTTTGCAGTTTTTTGGCTGTTTGCCCTATAGAATGATCACTGTGACACTGACAACTGGAGACTTTCTCATGGGTAAAACTACTATGGAACAAAAGCAAAATAAACTTTGTTTCTTATACATTTTAACAGTGGGCAATGTCACAAGGCGAAGTGACTAATAGCATAAGATTTGGCTCCAATTAAAATAATTTTTATTCACTATTGTCACAGTAGCAATAGTAAATGAAACAAAGATTCTAACAGGAAGCATTTAAGCTTTCTATTTTCTTCAGAAACTCTTTATAAGATTTATTACTATTTGTCACTTCCTGCATTTTATTCATTTTGCATTTTTTACTCAGGAAAAGGCTTTGACCCGTTTTATATTCATCTAAATTACATCATATGCAATTTTCATGATTAATAAACCACATGTAGTGGGCTCCAGTATTAACAAAATTATTTTAATAGTTTTTATGGAAGAAATTTGGGGATGGAACTGTTTATTACTTTATTAAAAATGTGGCCATTTATCATTTTTATAGTGCCTCTAAATGGTTTGTATCAATGAATTCTTTCAAAGTCTGTACTTGAGTGTCTTTTAATTTTAAAAAATGTTTTTAGGCCCTTAGCAACACTTACCCCAGGTGGAAACATAACAGCTCTCATAGGTAAGAATTTTTTTATGTGAATGATTTTCAAATCGTGAAAGAAAAGTTTATCTGAAATCCTTCTCAAACTTACTGGAAACCTACTTCTTCAGTATACATCACATCCAGAGATAGTGGTAAGTTTTTAAAAATTGAACAATGAGTAAAACCAGTAGTACTTTGTCGGACAGAATCTCCTCCGTTGCATAGATTATCTTCGTGTGCTTTACCCGAGAAGATATTTGTATGTAGCCACGCTTGATGTCCTCTCTTCATTACATGTTACAACCCAGTTTTTCCTTCTCTTTAAGGTGGTTTAGATTAGAATCCAAACAAGGAAAAAGAGCCAAAAACAGGGGTGAGATAAAGGTCAATATTCAATTCATGAGGAACAATATGACAGCAAGTATGTTTGACTTATCAATGAAGGATAAAACAAGATCTCCTTTTGCAAAATTAAAAGATAAGATGAAAGGTAGAAAAAATGATGGGACATTTTCTGATACGTCTTCTGCAATCATTCCAAGTTCTCACATGGCGGATGCCAATTCTGAATTTTCAAGTGGTGAAGTACAGATGAAATCTAAACCAAAAAAGCCTTTCCTCCTGGGTCCTCAGCGCCTCTCCTCAGCGCACTCCATGTCTGACTTAACCAGGGCCCACGTGTCTTCTGAGAAACTGAAGCCTGGCACCATTGGCCAAACGCATCTTCTCGGACGCCAGATAGAGCCCTTTGGAGCAGTGCCAGAAAGTGGTAGGTGACATTCTTCCTGAGTGTATCCTCAGTGGCCTGAGATACCCTTCTTAGTTTTTTAAAGTTTAACTTCTAAAATTAAAAAATAAAAATTACAGTTTCTTGGTAGTATTTTCTAAATTTAGTGATCAAATATTTATTGAATACCTACTATCCTCAAAATTGGTAAGTTTATTAAGGGCACAGCCTGTCTGCATTCAGTATTAGATGATGTTAAAAAAAAGCGAGTCCCAGTCACTTTTCATGGCCTGGCTTCTTTTTTTAAAATAATTTTTTTTATTGGTTGAATGATTTCAGAGAAAGAGAGGAGGGGGGGAGGGAGAGAGAGAGAGAAACAGAGAAACATTGATTTGTTGTTCCGCTCTTTTATGCATTTATTGGTTGAATCTTGTATGTGCCCTGATGGGGGATCAAGCCCGAAACCTTGGTGTGTAGGGACAACCCTCTAACCAACTGAGCTACCGGCCAGGGCTTGGCTTGATTTTTTTCTGTTGCTTCTCCTGTCTGGGAAACCTGAAGCATAAATGAATATTCCATTTAATCAGAACGTTTCTAGAAAAAAACCCATGTTCAGAAGTAAGCAAGTAAATTTAATACTAATGATGAAAAAAAAGTCTTTGAGAATTTATGGCACTATCCTGCCAAGCACAACCTCTAACTTTGACATTATAGTCTGTTTTTTTTCTTTCTGAGGTGAGTAAATTCCTGATTGTCTAGCAATATACTAATTATTATTAGCCTACACACTCCAGATTGCTATACCATAGCATTTTAGGCTTGTTTTCTTTGGTTATTTTAAAGGTTAAATCTTTAAATAGCTAATTGCGCTCATTCTAAAAGCAGCAGTATGCACACAGAATGTGTCATAGTGTGATGTAATGTGTGACTGATTATGTACTGACTACAAAATTATTTGCAGGAAGTCTCAAATCTCCACACAGAAGAACATTAAGCTTTGATACTTCTAAAATGAACCAACCTGACCGCAGTGTGGATGAAGGTGCACCGTCTTTCGGAAGACAAAATGACCCATTTACAAATGTGACGGCTTCATTACCCCAAAAATTTGCAACACTGCCAAGGAAGAAAAATCCATTTGAAGAAAGCAGTGAATCCTGGGATAGCAGCATGACTTTATTTTCAAAATCAATTGAAGTAAGAAAAGAAAATAAAAGAGAGAAAAGGGAGAAAGTTAGCCTGTTTGAAAGAGTGACGGGAAAGAAAGATAGCAGAAGGTCTGATAAACTCAACAATGGGGCAGCCGATAGCCCCAGTGACTTGAAATCACCTAATGCGTTTAGTGAAAATCGTCAGGACTATTTTGATTATGAGTCAACTAATCCGTTTACAACAAAATTCAGGGCTTCAAATATAATGCCATCTTCAAGGTAAGCTTACCATGGGGTAAGTTGTGCTATTTGAGAAATATTGTACTTGAAAGTATCAAATACCCCTTTTAAAAATACTTGAATATTCTAAATTCCTTTTATTTAACTTGAAAAAATATTTATCTTATTTTTCTAATTAATTATGGAGTCAGACAATGTTGCAGACATCTTTGGATTTGAACTTTTTATCTTAGAAGGATGAAAGATTCTGATTCCTTACCCTACTTTATTTCTACTTAGTGGGCCAATAGCAGCCCATGGGCTATTCTGTAAGAAATACTGGCTCAGGTATTAATAGTTTTCATAGTAGGTGTTAACTGTCCTCATCAAATTGCTGTGTAGTAGTAGTTTTTATTTGTGAATGTTTATTGGGATTCAGGGACCCTTGTTGGGCACTATAAATACGTCAGAAAACATCAATATAATCATTTATAGTCATAGAAATAATCACTATCATAAAGATTAGATTTGCAAAATCTGAGTTCTCAGTTGTGTAATGGTACTTTTCCCATTTCTTAGTGCAAGTTGGAACTATACACATTTAAGATTATGGATTTTGCAGAAGAGAAAGATGGAATAGCCAATTAAGGAACCTTAAACAAAGAATAAGATGAATTTATTGTGATTTTAAGCAGTTAATCATAGAAGTGCATGGTAGAATGTTTGCCGTGTAACATAGAAGTTTTTCCTGGAGGCACTAATGTATACAGACCTCAGTGGGGATCCTGGCTTAGCAGCTCTATGACCTCTGTAAACCTCAGCATCCCTACCTTTGAAACAAAGAAAATAATTCCTACTTGGTAGGATTGAGTGATGATAAATGATAAAGTATAAGGTACAAAGCCAGGCCCCAAAAAAGGGAACCCATAAATGGTGGCTGCTGTTATGTTATATATTCTGTTGTGTCATATTTTATTTAAGCAGTGCTTAATTTTGTCCCACTATAAATATAAACTACAGCATTGACAGTTAACCCCTTAGACCAGTGGTTCTCAACCTTCCTAATGCTGTGACCCTTTAATACAGTTCCTCATGTTGTGGTGACCCCCAACCATAAAATTATTTTCGTTGCTACTTCATAACTGTCATTTTGCTACTGTTATGAATCATAATGTAAATATCTGATATGCAGGATCTATTTTCATTGTTACAAATTGAACATAATTAAAGCATAATGATTAATCACAAAAACAATATGTAATTATATATGTGTTTTCCGATGGTCTTAGGTGACCCCTGTGAAAGGGTCGTTCGACCCCCAAAGGGGTCGCGACCCACAGGTTGAGAACCACTGCCTTAGACTGTGCTCTCCCACCTCTCTATATATAATCTAACGATTCATTGAAACATGCATTTAAACCTTTCAGAGGGAAGTGTGTATTTCTTTTATTTTCTTTCAGTAATGGGTATTTGCTGTGGCTTTAGAAAGTCCTGGTCAGTTTTCTTTATAGACTATAGAAAAAAATTTATTTTTATCTTATGGCATTAATATTTTAATAAGGAGTCCATAATTTTGATATGCTATTCTTAAATATTTTATTTTGGGATTTTACATAGTGTACTTTACATATTGCATTAAGTCCTAAATTATGGGGGTAAATAGAAATCCATTTGCATTTTTCCCCTTCCTTTACTGAACTTTTTTTGAAGAAGATTGTTGAAAACAACTGTCTAAGATAACTTAGAGATTGGGTAATTTATATTATTTTAGAGTCAAAGAAAATGGGAAATGGTAGGAAAATAATGTTTTAAAATTATGGCAGCATATGGGAAAATAGGTACCCTCAAAGCTACACTGGCCCTACACTTGGGCTATTATTACGTGGACGGCCATTGGTTTTAAAAGCGAGTGTGGCATTTTGCCAGATTTAGGCTTTGTTTTTGGGTTACTTCAATATTAATGCATTTTCTGTACAAATTAGAGCTGTTTCATGTAATATGTGTAAAATGATTGCAAGCATATAAAAACCAATAGATTTTAAAACCTTAAGACTTTCTCTTTTTTATATTCTCTTATCTTCATATTCTGTGAGATGCCAGAATTGAGAACAGAAACATTTGTAAGTTTTGGGGAAGTTACTCTTTTTGTGTCAAAAATCACCTTTGTGGTAAATTTAAAACATTTACAATGAAGTAGCTCTAATTAATAAGATTGAAATAAACAGATCGAGGGAGCGCATGCCATTCCCATTGGGGGAAGCAGCTTTTCCTCGTAGGGAATTTGGGAGGATATGGTGGAGGTAGTTTCGCCTTTACAAAACAGCGGATGCCTGTTTATCGTCCAGTATCACCCCTCAGTTAGAGGGGACATTTTACATTTCTCACATTAGCATCTACAACAAGTGCCTTTTGAAGCTATAGACTCCCATCACTAGGACGCACGCTGTGCATTTTTTCCCAGTAGTGCTAAGTAGATCTCTACTGAGTTTCCTGGACTCCTGTGACAGTTTTGTGGGAATGGGGACGGAGTTGAGGGTAAGATCTGTAGCCGTGGCGCTGAGTTTCTTCTCTGGATCGGCTGGCTCACCTGTGATGGCAGGTGCACGAGGACTGTGTTGTTACCCTCTGAGTGAGTAATGCCATTACAACAGAAGTTTCTTTATGCCAAAAATTTCTAAAGTACCGAGAAACACTTCCTTAGAAGTTCGCGTTTTCATTTCTTAGTGTCAGTAAAATCCACCTGAAGAAATCACCTTGTAAATCACAGAAATCCTGCATTTTGCTTCTGTTTCTGGAATAGATCCCAGGGCCTTGCATAGAACTGATAAGGAAGTGAGTTAGGGTTTTTGTGGGGTTGCTTCAACAGAACAGGGCTCTTTGAACCCTTTCCCTGAGGTGACTGAGTGTGCATCCTCTTCAGGCCCTTCTTGGAGGCCCCTCCTCCTGGAGGGAGGTAGTGAACCTGCAGTGCAGCCTTTTCCTATATGTCTGACTTGCCCTGGCATCACTTTGTTCCCTACCAGACCAGTCCCTCTGCCCCCTCGCACCACCATGAACAGCTGGAGGGCAGCGCCTGCATTTCATTCATTTTTCTGTCCTTAATCTCCAGCATGACGCTTGGTAGGTAGTAGGTGTTAGAAGAACATTTTTGAATAACAACACAGATCAGACCGATTTCCTAAAAGGCTTCTTCCGTTCCCGTAGTCTGCTTGGCGCTCAGTGTGGGCTGCGAGGATCTTTCTGATAGGCCGAAAACGGATCCATAAAGGCAAAGGTGTGCATTTTTATGCACAGCACAACATCGTTAAAAATCTAAGAATTTCTAAGGACTATTGAAGTTTAATATTCATACCCTAAATAGCACATTTCTGGAGCTTATCAGGAACTCTGGATTAGTTAGGATAGGTTATCACCTGTGATAAGCATCCCCAGATGTCAATGGCTAATCACTGTAGACGTTCATTGTTCATTGTTGTCAACCTAATTCACTAAGACAGGGATGATAGGTGGGTGCTCTGCTCCATACAGTCATTCAGGAGCCAGGCTTCTTCTTGTGACGCCCTCCTTTCATACATGACCTCCAGGGTCATGCAGCAGGGAGAGAGAGTGGAGGATCACGTGTGGGACATCTTTATGTGCCAGGCCTGGCAGTGGTGTGCATTGTTCCCATATGTCCCATTGGCCAGAGCTCAGTCCTGGCCCAACCTCAGTACAACCAGTTAAGAGATCGGGTTTAGCTATGACTCTGAGGAAGCTGTATTGGGTGTGGGGAGTTCACAGTACTGTTTGCTGCGGATGCCAGTTCTAGAAGCCTGCATGCTAACACTTGGCATGCTGCAAAACTCGTACTACTTGCACAGATACGTGAAAGTACAGTTGGAATTATCAGCTTATTACTGACATGCAGTTGTTTGTGTTTTAAAATTGCTTCTACTCTTGCTTTTTAATTATAAATCACAGGTAGTTTAGCATCATCAGTATCAACTAATTTGGAGTATGATTAACCCTACAATTTGTAAAGCCCTGCTTTTTTTGCATCAGCAGTATATTGTTTTCCAAAAACAAATACACCTAGATGTTTGTGATACCACTTTCAATAATGTGTTCACACCCATTTTTTTCTTGAACACTGGGCTGTTTTTCCACTGAAAAGTGGAAGTGGGTGGTGAGTTCACCAAAGGACATCCCAGATATATATATTTTTTAACAGATACACCGATAGACCCCAATGGATAGGAACATGTGACCAAGTTCTGGGTTCTTGAAGAATTAGTGGAAGAGATGTACAGCATTTCCAGGACTTGTCCATGAACACCGCCTCCACACTCTCCCACATTGTCCCTCTTTCTCCATACCTAAGTTGGGGGTTGGCAAACAAGACTCAGGGCCCCATTCTGGCTTGCTACCTCTTTCTGTGAATAACATTTTCTTGGAGCACATTTCACCCAGTTTTTTATGGCTACTCTTATGCTAGTTGAGTAGTATAGACAGACTGGCATGCATATTTATTACAAAAATTTATTTATTTATTTTTTTAACAGAAATACTTTCTTGAACCCTGTGCTAGCTGAATGGAAATCTTTGAGAAGGGCAGATTCATAAGATAGGAGCAAGCTGCGTCCCTGAATGCATGGAAGGCCACTAACCAAGGATACCCATTGAGTCTTACCTGAATGATGAACTCTCAGAGTATTAAATTACTGCAATTTTTATTTATTTATTATAGCACTTAGCATTATTATTATTTGGCACTTAGGGCACAGGAGTCATAGTACGTTTTGTTCTGTTCAAGAAAGCCGCCTTCAAAAAAGCTAAGAACCACTCATTTGCAACACCAAACTCTGCTTTCTATTTTTCAAGGCTTATTGTATTTTAGGCTTTTCTCAATTGTTCAACTTTTCTTTTACTATTCGTCCTCTCTGTTCTTGGGAAGTTAATTTTCTTACCTCTCTATCCTGAGGCCCTTAAACATTCCCATCTCCATTCTTTGGCTCAGCGGTAGAATGTACTCTTAACCCACCTGAATGTCCTAAGCCTGTCTATCCTTGATGCTAAAAACT